TCGGCAGGACTTCTTTCGCCTCGAATACACCACCGTGCGCCTCGTTAAAAAGAAAACGAATCGAGCGAGTATATATAGGCAGCGAGCTCTTTTTCGTGTCCACGCATAGATTATTCTACATATACGTACCCATTCGCCGCAATGTGTTCACGCATGCTGTATCAAAATTTTCGATGCTCATATACAAAGGAACGAACGAACGAACTATACGTTACACGTAGGAGAGCTTTTACATTTGCCGAGATGAAGCAGTTCTTGCAAGCTCACGGTTAATTACGCCGGCATCAAGAGAGAAAGCACTTTTTTTGTGTAGCTTCTTTAATCGCGTCTTTGAAATTGCATTTTGAGATTGGTGTTTTTTTTTTATCGAAATATGGGGTAAATTAACTTTGGTTTATGGAACGCAAAGTAGGGCAGTTATTATTTGCATCAAAATTAAAATTATATTTATTAGAATGTATGAATTTTGAAAGATGCAAATCTTCCCCGATGAGAATTATCAACATGAATAATAGCAAGCATCATTTAAAATGTTAAAAAGGCAACGTATCATTCGTACACATTTTACTTGTATGCGGAAATGCTCGTGTACAAGTTTCATGCGTACGAATGATACCTTCCCGTTATTAATACAATTAAAATAATTTGTTTGTTTTTTGGCTAATTTTCTGTTAAGGTCATGTTGAAAATATTGAGCAATGAAAATTTAATTGTTTCAAAAAATTTACACCAACTTTCAAGCACTTTAGTTAAAGTAACACTACTTTCAGCCTTCGCCGCTAGATGGCTAATATTTTTATTTTCAAATCTGCAAGTGGCAAAATCAAAATAATGGTATAAATCGCATAATATGGTATAAATTGGTGGAACCAACGAACCATCTCTTGCTTCTTCCGCCTTTTGTTTAGTTCCAGCCATAGGGAAAGTGAAGTTTTACCAATTTCAAATTTCAAATAGTACACACGATTGGTCTTGTTTCGTTCTGTGTCCGAAAAGTTGGACTCTTCCCAATCGTCTAGCTCTTTTCGCTGCAAATTCGAGCGAAGTTTTTTTTTCTTTTGGCATCCACATTTGTTTGAACTTTTTCATCCATCTATTCGTATGATATTCTATCCAGTATTCAAAATACTGGATAATGTGTTTGTGCTGCAAGATGGTACTTGCATGCACTTCATTCAGTATGGCTTCTTCTTCTTCTTTTTTAAAATCAAATTATCTGATTAATACATGTAACTGTACAACAGTAACAACGGTAAATTATAATTTACGCATCAACTCGTGAGCGAAACTTTGAATTTAGCGCAATGCAACTTGCGATGCTCGTACCTCAAGTACGACGACCAGACGACACTAGTAATTGAGTAGCCTACGACCGATCGTCGTCGCGCCCGAATTTTCACTTCTTGGCCGAGCGTCTTACTGTAATCGTTAACCCTGCGTATGAAACGCGCTCCTCGATATAAAATAAAATTGAAACGTGTATCAACTATTAAGTATATATCATAATATGTATTGTCACGTGGGACGACAATATGTATTGTCACGTCGTCCCACGTGACAGTATCAAGGTGCACAGATCATTCTTTCTCTCTTCTTTATGTCGTCTATCGGCCCGAGGGACGCGAGAGGAAGTTAGAATATAATGCGTTGCGCATGCTGGTATACGAGAGCCACCGCGACTCGTTAAAAAGAAAACGAATCGAGCGAGTATATATAGTTGGCGAGCTCTTTTTCGTGTCCACGCATAGATTTTTCTCCGCAATGTGTTCACGCATGCTGTATCAAAATTTTCGATGCTCGCATATATACACAGGAACGAACGAGCGAACGGGTATCGAGCTTGCACGCAAGCTCGCACCCTGTACGTTATACCCGGGAGAGCTTTTGAAAAAGCTTATTGAAAGCCTCTCGAGCGTTCTCGGTTTTTATTCGTGCGGTCATTCTCGTATACGCCGCGCACACGTGTGCGCGATCGCTATATACAGCGAGATGCGATTCTCGAAAGAGAAAGAAAATCAAAAGAAAAAAAAACAGCTTGGAAAAAAAAGTGACTCGTAATAATTCGAATCCGTATAATATGCGGTCGCGGTACGGAGCGCGCGCGCCGATCGCCAGATTCTGTCACACACTCCACGAATGCTCGTGGAGGAGTCTTAACTAACGGTGGGTTTTCGCCAAAATGAACTGCTCCTGGAATTCGAGCTCCTTTGTAATGTATATATACCTGTAGGTATATATCCGTGCGGGGGCTACGTTAGTTTTGGAACGAGCTCTCGGCTCTCGTCGGTACACACGTACACTCTCGCAGACACAGCCGTACCTATAGCAAACGCGCCCACTGAATCTCGCTTACACTCCTCTCTTTTTCGCTGAAAGGATGGGATTAAAATTCCAGGAGAATTCCAGGAGGTTGCCGACAGGAAGCGCTGAAAGTTTTAGTTAGCCGCTACGACCTGTATACTTGCCCTCTCTCTCTCTCTCTCTCTCTGTCTCTGCTGTATATCTATACGGGGCACACAGGGATCCGTATGTATAGGGATCGCACACTGACACACACACACACACACACATACACTTATGCCCAAAGCTCGAGTCGAAGCTCTTTTCCCACGAGAAGGTAAGAAAGCACAGCGGTACTAGCTATATACTATACACCACTGCACACCCACACATAGCACCGAGTAGTAGCTCGATGTACTGAAGAATGCAAAGACGCGCGAGTGAGCGTCGATTTCATCTACATCCCCGGAAGCGCGCCTCTATGGCATAGCTATAGCTCCTTTTCTTTCTCTCGATTCTCGACGAATTTTCTCCGTTCGATCGAGAAGGATCCCGAGGCCCGATCGCGCGCACACTCACACATATTGCCGCACGTGGCGCGGCGCGAGCTGTAAAGAATGCGCCAGCTATATAGGCAGCAGTTATAAACGCACGTACGAGCTTGCGCGCATACACTTTCGAGAGAGAGCGCGAGTATTACATATACGCAGTGGCGGCGAATTATGCTCGCGCTCGCGCGCCCTCGAGGCTTACACTCTCTCGTATACGAGTGATGAATTTGAGACACGCTCGATTTCTGCACTCGCACTACGAGCGATAGCGTAAATGGCAGTGTGTAAACTAAACGCACACTTACACACGCAGGGATATACATAATACATATAACTACTCACACGCACTCGAAAAGTTTACCATGCGTACGTGTGAGTACGTGTGTGTACGTACGTACGTACGTACGTTACGGAGCAGTAGCTCTCCGAAACCGCGAAACTAGGCGAAACGACGTTGTTTGACTTCCGCCTGAATTAACTTGGCGCCCGCGCGCGCGCACGAACACGCCTGTGTGCCGCCGTATTCCACTCGTCGTCGTTTTCGTCGTCGTCGGCGTCGTCGGCGTCGTCGTACCGTTGAAACAATGACGTGTGTATAGGCAACGCGCGACAACGATACGTTATATGTATATAATATATATACCATGTGTGTGTGTGTGTGTGGAAAGCGTAGCTGTAGTTTTCACAGCTCAAAGATTAAACAATACGTCGTCGTCGTCGCAAGCCCAAAAAGGCACGAGAGAGGATTTTTCCGGCGGTACTTGGCAGTTCGTTATGTTACATACGCAGTAGTAGGTGGCTGAGCTGTAGGGAGACGCATCCATTGTGATTTTCGCCCGAGGAATTATCGAAGAGGAGAGTTAACGAACCACACGAAACAATCGCTGCCGCGTACGCGTTCGTTTGCGACGTTGGCAATTTTTACGCGCGGCGCACAAAGCTCGACTTTTTTTTATTATATTTATAATGTGTATAGCTGCTGTATGCTCTTTTCTTCGTAGTCGTCGTCGTCGTTTCGATTTTATCACTTGCCGAGCGAAGCTTAATCGATTGCTCGCTGCGGAGATTCTTTCCTCGTACCTTCGCCTTCTTTTTTTTCTCTCTCTCTCCCTTCCTTCGCTCTTATCTTCCATTTAGCACGTTTGTATGTATATACGAGAACGTAAAACACGAGAGAGAGAGAGAGAGAGAGCTGAGGGCGAATCAAGTTCACGATCTGTGAGTGTACTCTCGCGCGGCCGGGACGGGAGAGGGGCGAGTTTTCCTATATGTATAGCCTCGCGATGCAATAAGAACGTCGACGTGTCAACCGATCCTCGAGACCTGCTTTTTTTCCTCTTCTCCTTTTCTTTTCTTTTTTTTTTTGCTTTGCTTCTGTACCAGTGTATATACACACACGTACACAAATTCAAGCTGTATATAGCCGTGTACTCTCTATCTCGAGCTTTTTTTTTTCAGCCCGAGCTTCATTCCTGCGCGCGAGCTTTCTTGCACATCGTACGGTCGACGGGCTGTTTTGCATTTTAAAAAGGTGTTGGGATCTCACTCCTTTTCTCTCTTTCTCAACAACCTCCGTATCGTATAACTCTCGCACACTCGCATACACACACACACTCGTAGAACAAGGATAGAGCGAGGAGAGGGAAAAAAAATGAATAAGTTGAGAAAATTCTATACCATTGAAATCATTTCAATCTGTGCTCGCTCGTTGAATTAAAAATGAAAAAATAAAAAGAAAGGAGGAGAACTTGAAGGGCACCACACGATGAGATTACTCAAATCAATTGCAAACCAAAGATTCTCCAACTATATGAATTTTAACGAGCCCAAGAGCACGAGATAAGGGCGAATTTCATTGTCTAGCGTGTGTATTACACAATATGTAAACACTTCGATCGATTAGACATTCACACGATGCGGTGTGCGAATTTTCGAGAGCGTGTGTACAAGCCGCCGATAATTGGTAAACCCGCTGCATATTGCATAAATTTAAAGTTTGAAATGTTTATGAATCGATCGATCGACCCTCCCGTGCTCTACTATATTCCTCCCCCTTGTAAACATGCAAATGTCAAGGGTCGACTATATACCAGTTTACGATTCCTTTACATTACCCTCTGGCACATTATTAATCGAGTTTCGATGTTTTCTTTTTTTTTTTCATTGTCGATGCTGCTGCGTCGTACAGTTCCTCCGATGCTGTGGATACCGCACCAGCTGGTGGGCGTGCCGCTGGGCTACTCGGTGACGCTCGAGTGCCACACCGAGGCCCATCCGACCTCGCTGAATTATTGGACCCGCAGCGACGACGGCGTCATGATACACGAGAGCCGCAAGTACAGGGTACTGTCGACGCCCGAGAAGCCCTCTTACAAGACCAACATGACCCTGACCATTTACGACGTCGAGGTGAGTTGTCGCGGCTCGCCCAATTTTGGCGGTAATTATTTTTAAACGACGATTTTTCGTTTGTTTGTTTTGCAGAAATCGGATTACGACAGCTACAAATGCATGGCCAAGAATCCTCGCGGAGAGACCGAGGGAACGATTCGTCTTTACGGTAAGTCCGCCGCTGCGCGCGATATACCCACTCGTATTTTGTTTTTATATCCCTTGGATGCGTACCATTATACATACGGTATGCGATATTGCACGAAAAGTACGAGGAAGCAAACATTTGTCAAGCGTCAAAATAGAATATCGTTTAGTATTCACTTCGCGATAAAATTTGTATACCGTTCCGCGCTGTGAATAACAAACAGACGCGTGCACACGATGTACTCTAGATACTCCTTTTTTTCATATTGTTCACATATTGAGAGAGAGAGAGAGAGAGAGAGAGGCAGACAATACGATTTGGGCGAAAAATAAGAGCGAAACTTGTAATCCACGCTATTTTAGTGTAAAATAAACAGGAAGAACGAAGATGGATGGGTCAATCGCGAATCCGTAATGACGCCATTTACGGACAGGGGGTGAGAGAGGAGAGCTGACAGTTTTCGAAAATCGATTCTGCCATTCAAATGGAAACGAGAGAGTCGAGCTGCTCCGCGTTAGCATAAAAAGGATTCCGCGTTAATGATGAAAAAGACCGAGCCAAAAATGACGTTGGCCATTTCCCGCTTTTCGTGCTCTACAACTCGTAGACCGAAGCCGGTCGATGGTTTCGTTCGATATCGAAATTTCTCAAAATAAAATGAATAGCTATGAACCTACACAGTCTGCAAAACTAATGGGGCAATTGTATGATGTATAACGTAATGAAACTGGCGCGTGCCTCTCTAAATTCGAGCATCAAAGCGGCAAATCTGTTCCTTATTTTTATCCATCTCTCTGGGAATATCCGCGCGCGCCGAGAACAAGGCAAATAAAATCTTCCGGCTCGTATACGCAGCGCCGGGTACAAAACACGAGACATATATATCGCGCGCACGATGCAAGGAAAGACAGAGAGAGAGAGAGAGAGAAAGTCTCTTTTTCTTGCCGAAAATTAAGTGGTAGCAGTCAGAGATATGTCAGACGAGTTTTATTAAGCGACGGTAAAAAAAAAAGGAGAGAGAGAGAGAGAAGGAGTAAAAGAAGATTTGTCGTGGCGCTCGTGCGAGCAGCCTGTATTATATATACGTATATAAATTTGTCGAGCTTTCCAGGGGGGCGAGGCTTTTCCCGAGGTTTATATTGTGCGAGAGACTCGCTCGCTCGTGCGCCGGCGATGTATATGAATTCATTATGAAGAAGCCTCTCTCTACTTTCTCTCTCTCGCGCACAAGCACACAAGACCGATAAGGACACTGGCATGCGCGCTCGAGCGAGCAATTCGAGTGCTTTTATGTACGTACCTCTGCGTCTGTCTGTCGCGATCCTTCGCTGTTCCATTATACGTTTCCTCGCACCGCGTGTATCGGCATTGCTAATTTATTCTTCCCATCTCGCATATTGTATTCATTCGATCAATCGAGCGCCGGAGATTACGTAAGCTTTTGTATACGGGGTTGTTGCATTATGCAATGAATCGTTTGCGCATGCATGTCAATCGTCGTCGTTGTCCCGACTCTTTCTTTTATTTTGACTTTACCCACCCTCCGCAGTGTCCATACTCAAACTCGGCAGAGAAACTTGCGGTTATCTCTCTCTCTCTCCATCTAGCGAGGCAACTCACCGTGTAAATGTGTATCTGTATACACAAACGCGGTGTGGATACTCGACTTTATATTTAGTTGTTGTTTATCTTAGGCCAGAGCTGTGGTTTCGTTTTGTATTCTCCGCGGTGGGCGACTAATTAAGGCACTTGGGTTATGCCGCGCGCGAGAAGCCAATATAGACAATCCGCTGTCTACCTCTTTCGCTCTCTCTCTCTCTCCCTCTCTCTCCCTTAAAGCTAAATCATCCGATTAACTTGAACTATCTTTGCGATAATTAACGAGTCGCCCGCGAGCTTCGATTATTCACGGCTGCTGCTGGCGGTTAAAAGATATGCTAAACATCTTCGATTATTCAGTCGTACAATCGATTTGTTATTAATTAACGGTTTTCGGCCAGAAGAGCTGGCTGCATGCGGTCTAGTGTGCGTGTGTGTATATGTGTATATCGATCGAATCAATCAAAACTTTCCAGACGCTTTGGGAAAATTCATCGAAAGCTCTCTCCTTTTCCATTCTTTTTTATTCTGCTACGATCTTTTTTTCTTACCCCTCGTTCTTTCTTCTTTCTTTTTTTTTTGACGTTGAATTTTTGCCATCATTGTGTAACATAATGGAGAGGTATACGGATGCTAGGAAAACCCGCAAGTCGACTTTTACCGCGCTATACATAGCATTTCGCCGATATTTATGTAATAATAACTCGCGCGCGCGCGCGCAGTAATTGTTCGCGAAATAAACGGGCGGCGGCGCGTGTCAGCGAGCGAGCGAAATTTTGATACAACGGTAATTGAAGCGATGTGCTAATTAAATGCCCATGGAAATTGCTGTAGTTTATTCAAAAAAAAAAAAGAACAAGAGAGAGAGAGAAAGCAAGAACAAGTCAAAAGGCATGCGCGCCGTAAGGACGTTACGCTTAAATTCGCTGGCGTGAAAAATGAATTTTTTTTTTTGTGTTGCTTCGTTCTTATATTATGCACGACATTCTGGCAAAAGACGTTTAAGATTGTCCGTGACTTTCTCTCTCTTTCTCTCTCTCGNAGGGGGGGGGGGGGGGGAGAGTTTTCGTGCCTTCAGCAGCCCTCCGGCTTCGTAGTACACGAGCGCCGCGACTCTTCCCTTCTTCTTACTTTTTTTTTCCTTCGTTTTTTTTCCAGCGGTAGCTACTCTCTCTCTCGCTCTCCTATTTTAACTTTGAATGAGTAAAGGTTCTTGATATTTTCCCGAAAGAATTTGAAGTGCCTCGTTATAGGGGGAGAATCTCGTTAAAAAGTAGTTTTTCTTTCACTGCGGCCTTGCGCGCTGCGTGCCTTTAAGCCTCTGCGCGGTCGCATCGTTATATGGGTAATTTGATGATCGTTGCTCTCTCTCTCTCTTTCTCTCTATCTCTCTTTTTGCGGCCGCGCGCATAGACAAAAAAAAAGTCGAAGGCCACCACGAAGGGCGAGTGCACAGTTTTTTCTCATATACATACGCTCGCGCTAATTCATTTTTCAACGCCGCAAGAAATTGATGGAGAAGAAGCTGAAAAAAGGGTAAAGAAAAAGAAGAAAACAGTAACGAAACGTCTATGTAAGATGTATAGGCTGGCTACTCGGCATCGGACAGATATCAGCCAAAAGTATACCAGATATATATCTCTCGTACATATAGGTTTGAAGGAGGACTTTTGAAAGACTGGTCTAACTTTTTCCCTCCGACGAGGCCCTGTGCGTGTGTCCGTACGTATGCTATACGTGCACGAGCTATGCCCGTTCGAGGCACGATAGAGAGAAGAGGGAGAGAGAGAGAGTAAGAAGTTTGGCAATTTCCCGGAGGCTAATCTAGAAGCGCCCGTCCGAGCGCGTCGGTCAGCATTGAATTGCCCGCGCGCACACAAATCTACCGCAGCTATATATGCATACGTACAGACACATACACATATAGGATATATATCTGTACCGGCTGGGCTGCTGAGCTTTGCTCTATGAATTATACAAGCTATTCCCATTGCTTTCGCGTAGCGAGCAGTGCTGTACGCGTAGCTATATAGCGTGTAGTATAGTAACCCCGTGTCGCTGCTGCTGCTGCCGGCGGATTTTCGGGAGCAAATTGACTCGACTTTCCACTTTTTCTCTTTCTCTCTTTCTTACGCTCGCGCTCGCTTATTCTTTATTTCATTCCGAGCCTTACGTAAAAATCGGAATCATCTCGATCCATACCAGAGGCTATGATTTTCCGAGCTTGAAGCAAAACTCGCGGGTCATTTTCGCGCTTATATATACGGACGAACCGACGAAATATCGTATAAATCGAATACCCGCGTATCGAAGAGGATCTATATTATTTTCGCCTCTAGACTATACCCACTAGACGTCGATACTTTGTATCCACGCGAGATCGTCAAAATATATACAAGCGAAGGCGCGTGAGATACGACGTGCCGAGTCTGAAATTTCGCACCTCTAAAGCTCCGCACGCGTGTATATTATATACGCATACGTGAGGCATCGACGAAAGATGTGTTTCGGCTGAAAAATATAGCCGTGTATACTTTCTTCCTATATTTTTTTTTTAAGACTCGAGTCGTATACAACGAGAATCGTGTATGAATCATGAATTTCCATTCGATCCGTGTATGCTCTCGAAACGAGAGTGAAGCAAAAAAAAAGAAGAAGAAGCCGCTGTATACGGAGTTGTTGATCAAGCTGATATCGCACCTGTAATTAAATAGAAAAAATTTTCTCGATATTGTGAAGGTTATTCCTTAGTATATATTGTTTTTACATCGATTTTAAATGGGTACAATTCTCTCTCACTTACAAAGTCTTACAACTTTGCTTTACACTTACAAGACTTTGTAAGCGAGAAAGAATCGTGTTGTGCAACACTGAAGGATAACCTTCGTATTGCCGTGAAATTTCCTTTTTATTTAATTGATAAAATATAAAATCTAAATAAAGAAAATATATCTTCGTAAATTCAAATCATCGGCAATATACAATCAGCCCATCGTATAGCCACGTCACACAGCGTCAAGTAAATTATTGTACGCCAATGTTAGTCTTGGTTAGCATGGACTCGATATTAGAGAGAGAGAGAGAGAAGTCAAAAGCCGCGCGCGAACAACTGCCTCAATTTCCCGTGTACTGTATAGCTGCAGTACACGTCACTTATCTCGGCCAGGATGTCGCACTGGCCTCGTGATAATATGTAAATGTGCGCATGTATGCGTAGACGCTTTTCTTGGTCGCGCAAGATCGTTCCGATGTACCGTCATATATACACCGTATAGCGCCGCTCGAGAGGCGATACAGAACAACCTCCGCTCGCGCGCCCTTTATCAAGACGCGTTGGAGAGACACTTGCTCGGTCGAAACTGTTTAAAGGCTCGGGCTGATTTGTAGCTTCTCTGCGATGCGCCGGAGTCTCCTTTCTTCCTATCTCGTATACCCACACACCAGGACCGAAACTTCGGAGCTTCCTCGTGCGCGAGGCGAAGGATTCCGGTGCCACCGTCGAGCTATGGCGACAAACTGGGTCGAAATGAGAGGAAATTGACGTAACAAGCTCTCGCGCGCGCAAGCTTAAGATCTCTCTCCCCGAAACTCGAAAAGGAGAGCGGGACAGCGCGCGGACAACAACTTCGCAACTCGAATACGTGGCTAGACTGAAACTATAATATATAATATACCCCTCGGATACATTATGAACGGGGTTGTACATTAGTGGATTGATACACGCTACACGCGTATAGTATAGTCGATCGAAAAATGTCAGTTTTATGGATCCAATGTAGCCGAAGATAAGAACGGGTAAAGAGATCCATCGTTTGGCGAGGAGATGGAAAAAAAACAGCGAGACAAGAGGAAACGGAGTATATGATATCAAGAACGTACTATGTACAAACGATGATTAATGATTCATCGACGACTATAGCGACGAAGACGACGACGACGAAGAAGATGCAAAAACAACGTCGGTGATCTGTAACGCGAGCGTGTGTGTTGTACGGACTCTTTCAAAATTTATTATTCCAATAAAATAACGCATCCACTCGGATGCGATACGTGCCTCTAAGTGGCAAGAGGCAATACACATAATGCACGTCTCGATACAGGTAAAAAGTGCGCGCGCGGAGGTGGGGGGTTGAAAAATGCAAGACCGGCATAAGTGGGGTAGGTGATGCGTATTGAAAAAAAGAGACGTATATTGCAAGACAGAGCAGCAGCAGCAGCAGCGGCAGCCTTTATATAAGCGAAAAGAAAAGGGAATCGCGAAAGACAAAAAAGCGAGCCTCGCTGCGCCAGTTTATATATGTAAGGTTATATAAGAAGGCTGCAGAGAGAGAGAGAGAGAAGGATGGAGCCGCTGACGTGGCGCAAGATTGATTGGAGTCACGAGATGGAAAATTAACGGTCTGCGCGCCGCGCCGTGTAGCAGCAGCAGCAGCAGTACTACTATACTGTACCAGCAGACGACGCATTCTGCGAGCGGCCCTCTGCGTGCCTGTGTGGCAGTGGTGGGGGGTACAGGAGTAAAATGGAGAGGAGCGGGGCGCGGGGGTGGGACGCGCAGGAGCTACGGAGGAGATGGAAGAGGGAAAAGAGAGAAAGGAGTGACAGACACCGCATACTAATCTCGACTTCTTGGCTCCGTTGAAGTCTATACGCGGGTGTGTGTGTGTGCACGCCTTCTTCTTCTTCTTCTTCTTCGTCTTTCGGACAGCATCGCATAACCCCAACTTGCCATTTTCCTTCCTTCTTCGTCTTCTTCTTCTTCGTCGTCGTCGTCGTTTTTTTCGCCTTGTCTCTCTCTCTCTGTTACGTCCTGCATACGGAATAAGATCTTCGCCTCGCGTGTGCTGCACAACGTGTACACCGTGTGCGCGTCCCGACTTTGACATTCGTCGAGTTATTTTTCTGACGTTAGCTACCTTGAGAACGATTGGGTCATTTTCTCTCTTGCGCGCGTTATGTGTACATGTATAGTGTATACGTATAGCGCCGGAGGAGCTATACGCGAGAAAAACAGAAAGAGGACGAGAATAAAAAAGGGGCTAGCGAAGGCAACTTATCGTCCGTTCGAGTTATATCAAAGTACGTCATGCACTGGTACATGCTGCTCTATTTGCATATAAGCGAGAAGAAACATGCAAAAAAAAAAATTTACTTTTGATGCATCGCCGTCCGTTACGCTGTGTAGCGCGCGCGAAAAAAAGAAGGCAACGAGAGGTATTCGAATCGATGACGGACGGAGAAAAAATGCTACGTCTCGCAACGACTTAATTTCAGGGCTGCGCGCGTATCACGAGCGTTGTTATGTTTGGAGAGCCTAGATCAATATAGAGAAAACGACTCGTAACGGTCTCGAAGTCCAGGAAAAATAAAATAGGTAGAATTCGCTACGTTCGGAGAAACTCGTGATAAAGAGAACAACGAAAAGTGACGCCGTGAATGATCGTGCACCGGAACACGACTCTTATATCGGTTTAAACAGAGAGAGAAAATAAACTCTTAACTCGTACACTCTACTTTATTTTTAGGATATGATTGTGGAGCTATGATTGACAATATGTATCGTTTAAAGTTCGTATCGAATAATCCTGGCAAAAGACTTAAAAGTGGCAATATAATGACTTCAAAGGTTGTAAGCCAATTATCAACTATTAATACCACTTTTAACTTTTACCACTAGATGGCGAGTATCTATGTATCTGTAAATCTACAAGTAGAAAATTCAAATCAATTACATAAATCGAAGCACTATTATTAAAATTTTTCTCTTTTCTCTTGCTATTTATAAAATGTACTTAATTACAGATGAATAGTTTACAAAACATTAGCCAACTCAAAATCTCTCGCTCTGTATGTACGAAACATAAATATAACAAATACATCTTAGCACTCGCACAAATTCGATAAGTCTGCTAGCTTTTCCTCCGCTACTATATATGACAGGGACAAAGTGCAGCCTGTGCTTGAACTAAATATGTACAGTTTTGCCGAATCATTTCGTTCCGTAGGACTCGATGTGCGTAATCAGAGAGAGAGAGAGAGAACTGCGACTTTTACTCGAGCTATCGTCGCGCCCGTACATACACGTATACATCATATACGTTGCATATGTGCGCGTACGTCAGCAGTTGGAAAGTTCGTACATATAGTCTCTCGTTCGGGCGATTGATCGCGTCGCACGACGACGACGACGAGGGGGCGAGAGCCAATCATCAATCAGAGCCGGGACGAAAAGTTAAATGGCCGGGACAACGGGTTTTAATATCTCTTCGGTATTAGAAACGGTAGTGCAGCTATACGAGCGCACGAAATCCCGGAGACAGAGACAGAGAACTTATACGTATTGCCAACGGAGGGAGGGAGGGAGGGAGTGGGTGGCTCGAAATAAAAGTTGGCGCGATAAATCAAAAGTGAAAAGTCGCCGTCCAAGTGCCGGGCTACTGTTCCTTCTTCTCTCTTCCCTTTTTTTCCCCCCTTCACTTTCTGCAATTTTCCCTCGTTTTTGTCTCGCATTAGCTTCGAGTGCGTGTCCTCGTATATATGCTGCTGCCCCGGTGACGGTATTATATCCCTCGCGATTTTCCTAAAGGCGCTTATGAGGCAGTCACCGTTTTACTACTACTGCTCTACCTATATATCCGAGAGCACGCGCCGAGTGATGAATGAATTTTTCTCCGAGCTTCGATTATTCATATCGCGCGATTCGACCTATCCCCCCCCCTTCTGCGAGACGAAAAGTTTCTGTTCTCGGATACGCGAGCGCAACGTGACGACGCGAGATGGCTATTGTTTTTTTGTTACCCTCTCGTCCGATAATCATTCATCGATGTTAATTAAATGGCTGGACGGGAATCAGAAACGAAGGTGTATGAAAATATACTTTTGATACTAGTAAATATGTGTCGTGCCTTATGTAAGTTGACTTGCTCTTTTCAAATCTAAGGTTTAATTCGAAAAAATTTGCACTGTATGCATACTGTATGTATAGATGCCTGAAAATGACTTAACATCAACTTTTACTTGAATTAATAGAGACAAAACCAAACGACTTCGTGGCTGTTAACAGATTACAGCTATCGTCGAGTCTTATAATGACCCCCTTTTACTTCATGAGCGCATGTAACTCGCAACTTGCTCTCTATACTACCATTAGTTTATCGTAAAAATGCAACGATATTTAAACATACTAAAATTATTGATTAATTCATTTATTTAATTTTTTCTACAATGTCACGTACACATTTTGTGCTCACAACGCCTTGTAACCAAAAATAATGCGATCTTCAGCGTGTTCCTTGGCTGTGAATCATCGAAATATGTGACGTTTGGTTTTTAATCCACCGTGACATTGATTAACCTGTCAATCGAATACATAAATTTAGATTTATTTTTAACCATATCTTGGAATTGATAAAATTTTTCGTGAAGTAGACCAAATAACACTTACATGAATTCAGTCCTTCGAATCACGTTTATGTTGCTGCTGGTGCTGCTGTGGAGGCTGCAGCGGCGGCGTCTTGCTTACCTTTGCACTTACGTCCTCTACACTTCTTTGCACCCTTTTTTGCCTCGACATCGTCGAAAACAAACACCGTCAGAAAAACTGAATTCAAGACATGAATTATTTCAAAATTGAATATCTCAATGGTGTAGAATAAATATCATTACCTGCTACGACGAGTAGAAATAAGAACGGAGACTTGAACATTTTTTCGGATTTCGAGCTGCAATGACTTCTTGGAGCGACGATCAATCGAAAGACTTTTATATACTGGGATCAAGTTTAAATGCCGCTCGTAAACATCAATTTTTATACTCGGATAATTAAAATTTACAACGAGTGCGTTATTAAACTAGGTGTTTGATTGCGCATAAAATTGTTTGATTAATACAGCCAATTTACATTGACAGATAACGATCGTTGAGGGTATGCAAATCTAACTAAATTCAATTTTTTCATTAAATTTGTAATAAAAATTATACTTTATAATTTTATAGGAATGTTATCAATTATTATCAAGTGAGCTCAAGAAGCTCGATGAAAATAGTTTACTTCAAACAAACGTATGGATAATCAATAGAAAAATCGAAACTCACTTTTTAAATTTATTTATTTGAATGATTTAAAAAATATACAAAATTATATCAAAAAATCGCTATACAGTGTTTTAGCCCTCGGCAGCCAAGCAAACGTTATACAGATCTGCGTTCGTGAGATTGTCGATCACCATTACGCAGCAGAGTAGCGGCAGTCGGCAGTGCGTCAGCACCACGAAGGGCTCCAGCGCCCAGGAGCGGAAGAATCGCCTCGACGCTTTCTCGCAGAGATGCCGGTCGAGGGCCTCGACGTAGCCCTGGGGCAGCACGTGTAACGAGCGCGCCAGCTCCAGGTTGTCCACGTGGACGAGCAGCTTGGCCGCCACGTCGAGCGGTGCCTCGATCAGCTGGTCGAGCGTAAGGTCCTCTTTGACCCTCAGCTCCTTCGCTCTCCTCACCAGCTCCGCGTTGTCGTAGTACCAAGACTTTTTCGGATCCTCCGCCGTTGTCGTCGCTGTCTCGAAGATACTGTACTTGGCGAAGAGCGACATGACGGTCAGGGCGTCGGCTCGGTCCAGCTCGTATCCTGCGCGCTCGAGGCGCTCGACCACTGCCAGAGCCCCAGCGACCAGCTTCAATTTCGAATTGCGCCACGACTCGCTCGGCTTCGGTCTCTTCTCGAAGTGACTCCGTGCGGGAAAGACGAATCCGGCCAGATCGGCGCCCTGATCCAAGAGCACGTCCATCACCTTCGGCAAAAGAAACGCGACGGCCCATTGCAGAGGCGTACGGTCCGTACCATCCCGAGCATCGACCCGCACTCTCTGCCTCATCTCCGCGTTGACGTCGAAAAACAGCTGGGCCAAGTCGTCGTCGTCCTCGTCTCTCCTGCAGACGACGTGCAGAGGCGTCCATCCTTGCTCGGTCGTCAGATTCCCATCGGCACCTCGTCTCAGCAGCAGCGCGGTCAGCCTCTGGTTGCCGGCACGCAGAGCGAAGTGCAGCGGCGCGTAGCCGAGATTACCCAGCGCGTCGATCCTTACCGGCCGGCCTCTCTCGGCGGCCAGGTCGAATATCAGCTCGGCCAAGCCGTCCGTCCGTTCGTTGTGGCGCGTCTTGGCGCAGACTATGTGCAGCGCCGCCTCGCCGTAATCGTTGGCGAGATTCCAGTCGGCGCCCCGCCGCAGCAGACACTCGGCCGGATCGGGCTCGTCGAGGTTCAGCGCCAGATGGAGCGGCGTGTCGCCCATTCGGTCCCGGGCGTCCAGCCGCACCTCGCGCCCGATCTCGTCGCAGACCTCGAAGAACAGCTCGGTTATGTCGTGATAGTCCGAGCAGACGACGTGCAGCGGCGTCGAGCCGGCGTTATTGGCCAGATTGGGGTCGGCGCCCCGTCTCAGCAGTGCCTCGGCCGACTGCATGTGGCCGAGCTCCAGGGCCAGATGCAGGGCGGTGTCGCCCTGCTTGTCGCGCGCGTCGATCAGCACCGGATGACGTCCGACCCGTCTGGCGACGTCGACGATCAGCCTCACCGAGTCGCCGTCGTCGGCCCTCAAGCAGGCCACGTGCAGAGCGGTCAGTCCCGTCTCGCTGGCGAGATTCGGATCGGCGCCGCGTCGCAGCAGCGTCGCGATCGCCTGCGCGTTGCCGTGATTGCAGGCCAGATGCAGCGGCGTACGGCCCATCGAGTCCCGGGCGTCTATATCGACTCGCCAGCGTCTCTCGTCGCAGATCCGGAAGTAAGTCTCGGCCAATCCGTCGATCGTCGCGTAGGACGACCTCTTGTCGTAGATCGTGTGCAGGGGCGTCGTGCCGTCGTCGTTGGCCAGGTTCGGGTCGGCGCCGTAGCCCAGCAGCGCCCTCGTCACCATCTGGTGGTTGCGGAACAGAGCCAAGTTCAGCGGTGTGCTGCCCCACGGGTCCCGAGCGTCGATCGGCAACGGTCGATACCTCTCCTGAGCGTGCTCGAACAGCAGGGCCAGCAGGTCGCTGTCGCCCCTGCGCATGCAGATAACCAACAGAGGCGTCATCGACTTCTTGTTGGCAAAATTTGGATTGGCACCCAGTCGCAGCAGCGTGCGCACCACCTCGATTCTGCAGTGGGCCAGAGCCAGATGCAGCGGCGAGTCGCCCGTATCCGGCACCGCGAGATCGGGATCCACCTGGCCGAGCTCGAGGAATTTTTGCACGACGTCGTCGCAGCCGGCCATGCAGGCGATGTGAAAGTGCGTCAAGCCCTTGTCGTCGACGTAATTGACCTCGAACTGGTTGTAGATCCGAAAGAGGCGACGCGCCGCGGTGTCCCAGCTGAAGAATCGACGCCTGGCCACGGCGTGCAGCGGCGTGACTCTTAGCAGCGACGACGGCTGGGGCTGCTGCTCGGGCCTGTCCTCGTAGCCGCTCGCGATGACGAAGTCGACGATGGGCAGGGCGTGCACGTCGCAGCCGAGACACACGCTGAGACACGTGACTTCCTCGGCGAGCAGCCAGTCGATCTCCTCGGGCCGAAAGACGTCGAGCAGATCGGGTAGTCGGCCCTGCCAACTCTGCACCAGGGGATAGAGTCGAGCGATAAATTCGCGTCGCTGAGCTTCGACCCGCCAGTCGACGTTCGCGCGTAAGCTCTTCAATTTCGCTGAGTTTTCTCGGCCTTTGACATCGTCGTCGTTGTCACGGCTTTTGTCGCTCTCGATGGAAATATCGTACAGTTGATCGGATTCGTCGTTGAAAGCGGCCATCGTTGTAAGCGCTATATACACACAAATATAATTTTAGCTTATAATTCCCGATGGAAAAAAAATCGTTCAAGAAAGAGTAAAAGTAGTAACTAAAACCATCATATTAAATTGTAAAATGTAATAAAATGTAGAAAAATGTAAAATTACTAGCGATTTCGGACAGCCAATGAATTAAAAAAGGCAGCATCAAATCACATTTTTTTACACTTTTTTACATTTTCTTCAATTAGTCTAGGAGCCACACAGGTGCCCGCTTCAAAATGAATCCCAAGAGCTGAACCAAGGTGTTTTCTTCGTATTTTTTCCCGCCGAACACGAATTTCAGAGGTGGACATCGATCCGAGTGGTCGTTTTTTTGTTACTAACAATTTGATTGTTTAAACGGCCATAACTCGAAAACTATTGAAGATAAATTAAAACAATTTTCCGTCATTCTATTCTAGATGAAAAAGTGAAGAGATTCAATTTTTAAAAGTTAAAATCGGTTCATTAGAAAAAAAGTTATTGACAATTTTGTGTTTTTTTGCCAAGTCGATCTCAATCTGCAACTTTCGAGTTTTTAACGATTTTTAATTCGTTACATATGCAGCGGACGAAAAAATGACAAGAAAAATTTTTTGTTAAGAATTGTCCATGGAGTCGAAAAATATTTTTATTTTGCAAAATAAACACTTTTTTGCAATAACAATTATTTGTTTATTTTGTTCATGTAAAAAAATAATCTTTTCTTCGTATTTTTTTCTGCTAGACACAAATTAAGAGGATTGATCTAAGTCGCCGTTCAGTTGTTATTAACAATTTATGAAAAATTAAATTGAGGAAAAGTAAAAAAAAACAAATTTTTCATTTAATAATAATTAAAAACAATAAAAAAATTAAATATTATTACATGTATTCTGTGTTCATATTTTTGTAAATGTAAAAAGTTAGATACGTGTAAAAATATTTAATTTTTTTACTGCTTTTAGTTATTAATAAATGAAAAGTTTTTTATTCTTTATTTTTCCTCAATTGAATTTTTCACAAATTGTTAATAACAACTGAACGGCGACTCAAATCGATTTCCAACCTCTTAATTCGTGTCCAGCAGAAAAAAATAAGAGGAAAAGAATATTTTTTTACATGAAAAAAATAAACATATAATTGTTATTGCAAAAAAAGTGTTTATTTTGCAAAATAAAAATATTTTTCGACTCCGTGGACAATTCTAAACAAAAAATTTTTCTTGGCATTTTTTCGTCCGCTGCGTATGTAACGAATTAAAAATCACAAGGCAAAAAAACACAAAATTGTCAATAACTTTTTTTCTAATGAACCGATTTTAACTTTTAAAAATGGAATCTCTTCGCCTTTTCATCTAGCATAGAATGACGGAAAATTGTTTTAATTTATCTTCAATAGTTTTCGAGTTATGGCCGTTTAAACAATCAAATTGTTAATAACAAATAACGACCACTCGGATCGATGTCCACCTCTGAAATTCGTGTTCAGCGGGAAAAAGAAAACACCTTGGTTCAGCTCTCGGGATTCATTTTGAAGCGGGCACCTGTGTGGCTCCTAGACTATATATGCTATCCGCGTGTGGTAGCAAGTGATTTTCGTGAAAAAAATGTATTGATTTTCATGAATAAATTAAGACAAATTATCATGGATATGTATATAAACCAAATTATCAGTACTCCTAAGTACATCTATATGATGATGTTATAAGGCTTTCTGCTGCATTAGAATGAGCTCACTTTTTTCACGAAAACCTCTTGCTGCGGTCAATTTGATCACATGCGCCCTTGACCATGATTTTAAACTCATAAGTAAAAATTGTAACATTTAAAATTATTATTACAGAATTTTATGTTTTTTTACACTTTTTTACTTTTTTCATGTAACATTAAATGAGCTTGAATTTATAGGGTTTTCATCTCTCTAATTATAGGTAAACAAATGTAATAAACTGTAATAAAAAGTAAAAAAAGGTAGAAAAACGTATCACACCGAAAGAAAAATCGGAAGTATGGGCTGCGCGTGTACGTAACCCACGGCTACGATTACTTTTCGAAGTCTTAGATTCCGCTATGACGAAGCGTGAGATTATGAGAAGCGTAGCGAGATGCTACGTTCAATGTACGCGTGCGGCAAGTCCGACTGGTCGTAGCCTCAGACTACGAACGTCCGATCGTGAAGCTACGATCTGTGTGAGCGGGCGGAGGCTACGCCGAGTCGGTCCACGATTTCGAACATCAGGCCGTAATGCCGCATACATAAATGAAGCATAATAAATAAGTAAACATTCAATAAAGCATGTTACGTATATAGTGATAGTGTTGTGCGTATTGTCTCTAATCAAAAGTATATAAAAATTCATCAACTTTTACTTTCAAAGGTTCAATGCAGAATTAAATAATTTAATATAACGAAACAATATTGATTCATACAAAAATTGTAAAACAATATACGAACGAACTCAATAATGTTTGTCGCGTGTATATTGTAGTGCAAAAGAGTTTTCGCTGGTAGCGAAAAAGGCCATAGTGCGCTGTATATGAGGAGCGTGTACGCCGCAGCTCTCTCTGCCATACTTGCCAGAGCGAACGCGAGCGCGTTCCCTCGATACACAGAGCGCAGCTTCACGATCCGACGTTTGCAGTCTGAGGCTTATACGACTCGCCGTAGCCTCCGCGCGCGTACATTGTACGTAGCATCTCGCTACGCTTCTCGTAATCCCACACACTTCGCTAATTGTCGAAATTTCTCATTTCGAGTCACGAATGCTGAGACTACGATTCCGAGTTTTCGGAACCCGCAGTAGCGCTCAATAATCGTAGCATCAGCTTACGATATTTTTTTCGGTGCACATGTCCGAAATCGTTCGTAATCTTTAGGGCTATGCGAGTATCCGATTTTTCGAGTTTTACTCGACTCGAGTTTTTTCGAATACCCGAAATATATTTAAGTTTTAAGTAAATAAATGGTGAATCAACAGTCTCTAGACCCCTCTCTTTGAGTGTATATGCTTATAAGTGTGATATTCGCAGCGGCTAGAATTGTAAGAAGAAAATACTTTAATATTACCACACCTCATCACACTTATAAGCATGTACACACAAAAGGAGGGGTCCAGAGACTGTTGATTCATCATTTATTTACTTAAAACTTAAATATATATCGAATATTCGAAAAAACTTGATTACTCGAAAAAACTCGAGTACCCGAAAAAACGAATACTCGACTCGAACTCGACGAGTCCAGTTTTTTCGAGTACTCACACAGCCCTAGTAATCTTACATTTTTTTACACTTTTTTACTCTTTATTACAGTTTACAACATTATTATGCACTTTATTTAAAAAAAAATCCACCGGGGATTTAAGAAATCATTTCACTTTTTTGTCAAAAAACCAAAAATTACTCACTGCGGTCAATGCGATGTGTGTTCCTCTATAGCTGCTTACGCTGCGATGTCGTAACGAATAATGACCTATATATCGTCCCGCATGCACGATCCATATAGAAAAAAAGTAGAACACTTGTGTGAAGTCGAGAGATGCAGCTCGAGCTGTATACAACGAGCGACTGAGTTCAGTGACCCATACGTGTCGACTTTCGTAATTCGTTTGAGTCGCGTGGTCGCGCACACCAACAAAGCGCAGACCATATAGCAAGTATCTTGCAATGCGTGCGAGAGAGATGAGCGCACACGAGAGATGTACAAGACGACGCTACGCAGAGACGCATGATGCAGGTGGGTCGCTTTCACTTGTATAGTTACTTGGAATCGAGCCTACGACTGTACGACCGACTGCTTTGACACAATGCGCGCATCGATCAATTAAATTTCGTCAGCTTATATAGGTGACTTTGGATGAAAAAATTGTCGGTCGACTCGAGAAAACGTTGTTATGAGATGAACGCATTGAATTTCCACGATTTCCGAGTTGGTATTACAGACATGAACATATGTACTGTATACAATGTATACGTATGCTTGGGTAATGAAAAAAAAGTCTATATAGACCAACAAAAATTAAACTCTATATGAGGCGTTTTAGCCCAAGTATCCCAGCGCGGCGGCCGCACGGCACTTTTAGGCGAAATTGCTTAATTTCTATCTCACTGTAAAACCCCCTAAACGCACTCAAAAAAAATATGTGACATATGATTTCGATTGGAAATTTCCTCAGCTTTTCAATAGTGAAGTCAGATTTTTAAAAATTTTCCTTTTTCGACGGAAAATTGTAAAAATAAACTTTTAACATTAAATATCTCAAAAATCGCATTTTTAAGATTTTTGAAAGTAGTCTCAATCGAAAGCTGAGGAAATTTCCCATCGAAATACATATTTCCCAGAGAGTACATTTTATTTTTACCAGCTGAAATACAGCGATGAACGTGTAAAAACGCGACTTTACGGCCCGCGCGGCAGCTGTTTCGGCGCGTAGTACCCCGCGCGGAGCAAAATCTCACGTTTTTACACGTTCGTCGCTGTACTTCATTGAGTAATTATCAAAAGTACTCTCTGAAAACTTGCTTATCGATAGAAAATTTCCTCAGCTTTCGATTGAGACTACTTTAAAAAATCTTAAAAATGCGATTTTTGAGATATTTAATGTTAAAAGTTTATTTTTACAATTTTCCGTGGAAAATGGGAAATTTTCAAAAATCTGACTTCGCCATTGGAAAGCTGAAGAAATTTTCAATCGAAATCATATGTCACATATTTTTTTTGAGTGCGTTTAGGGGGTTTTATAGCGAGATAGAAATTAAGCAATTTCGCCTAAAAGTGCCGTGCCGCCGCCGCGCTGGGACACTTGGGCTGAAACGCCTCATATACGTCACACGCGTAATGCTCAAACAAACGAATCAAGGAAAAACATCTTTCCGTCTCGATCGAGTCCGAACTCCCAGTTTTTTTCTCGAACATACATACTACAGCGTATCCCGATATTAGCCGTGACCGACGCGGTGAACGAATTTCTCAGATTATTCATGGCCGCGATTTCATTATTACCGTATACGCTTAGCCGTATGCGGCTACCAGCACCTCCCTCATATTTTTTCCCCTCGCAGCTAATATATAATATTTGAGTGCAATAGTTTCGAGGGAAAAGCCGTGCTGCGGGTAGTCGGCTAATGGTAACAGGTGGCGCGCATAGAATTTCCATATAATGGCTCTAGCTCGAGCTGCGCGCCGCTAAAATCTGTAAGTGCCTTCGACTCTCTTTCTCTCTCTCTCTCTCTCATCGCGCTGCCTGGTAACCCCGTCACGAAATCAGAACACACCCACACATACACAGCTTTCTTTTACTTTATAATATGAAGGTGCTGCTGCTGCTGCGCACAGCCGGTAACATCCTCGATCTACGTTATATCCCGCAGTTTTGACCTCGAAAGTTTTCCATCTCGCGCGAGCGAGCGAGCCTATAATGCATAAAGTGTTCTGAGCGGAAAAGTTTGATGCGCTGATCTCGGCGAAGCCGCGCGACTACGTATGCATAGAGATAGGCTTGCTCGCTTGCGATTGAATAATTCTCTCGGCTAAATTGCCGTAGTTATACACATATAGACGCGTAGGGTGGAATTAATTTACCGATCTTAAGAAGAAAAAACTTTATACAATCATTACGATAGAGATGATAATTTGTTGCCTTTCATTTTCCAATTGCAGAGTCGACGCCGCCGAGCACCAGTCCGAATCCCGTCACCACGGAGCTGGCCAGCAAAGGTATGTGCGCCTAGTGTACACGATTATTACATTCTTCGATCTGACCCCTCGGTACAGCTCCGCGCAAACGAATCGATGCACGCCTCGAATTCTCTCGTCGCTTTCTCTCTGGCTCGCTCGAGCTCGTTTCAAAATTTTCGAATTTATCCACGAAATGATATTAATGGCTTATAAGAACCGAGAGAGAAAGAGAGAGAGAGAGAGAGAAAGCGAGGGTCGCTGCGCGGTGCATATCGGGGATAATTTTGACAAAAGTGCAGCAAATCTTGGTAGCCGAAGCTCGCTCGCTCCCAGCTCGTACGCGCGAGATATTAAATGTGATTTACGGCTCTATATCTGTTGCGAGTTTTGTAACTATACCGAGCGATGCTGTGAACGAGCGCGGACCTATTGTTGCTCGCCGCGATTCCAATACTTCACCTGCGCGGCATTTAATTAACGCCATAAAATTGCATCGGGCCTTATATACTTTGTACACGCGCATTCGAGGATAGTCGCGTTCACTTTTTGTTTTTTACAACCGCGAGAGAGTATATATAATGGCATCGTGAATTATTGCCCATTTACAAAAAAAAAAAAGACAGTAAAATAATCGTTTCATTAGATTTATATATTTTTTTTTTTCGTACTATGCGAATATGATCGCGGCTGACAAATTATTCAATGAACTAAAACATCGAATGAACTAATCTTTGTTCTCTTTCTCGTTTCCGCAGAGTGGGACATCACGCCGGAGCTGAACAATTCGGTTTACGGCAATCCGAGCTCGCTGACCATTCACAACGACAAGAAAAAAGGTGAGACGACGAGGCACAGGCTTTTTTCACTTGTATACGTATATGTACATTCGACATGGAAATTGCATGGAAAATCACGGATTAAGTAGACACGCGAGAGCTCGAAAATGGGCGCGCGCATCGCAGTTATTGGCAGCGAGAAAAAGTCGAGCGGAGCAGAAAAAAAATTACGAGTTTTTGAGATATATATAATACATCAGCTGCCATGGGTATTGCACAGCTTGTTCTCTCGTATATAGTACGAAAATGTTCGACTCGGAGCTCTACAGAAAGAGAGAGAGAGAGATTGTAACATCAATATTTCATATATGCTAACGCGCCAGAACTAATAATGCTCTTTCTCTCTTATAGCACGAAATGCCTAGGCAGAAAGAGCCAAGAATAATATTAAACCTCTCTCTCTCTCTCTCTTCTCTCTCTTTCCCCTGCTCGCTGCACAGGCGCATCCTAATATTATGTACTCGCGTAGGAGCTTTTCATCTCTCGTCGTCGTAGTAGTAGTAGTCGTGGTTTTGCGCGCGTGAGAAATAATCCTACTGTGTGCACACACACATACAGAGAGCAGCGGCACATAACGGTTGATATAACGCGTATTCACTCAACTCGAGAGTTGCTTATACATACACATCGTGGTATTATGTATGTGTGTGTACGCGTGTTTGCATGTGCACACAGGAGAAAGAGAGAAAGAGATATGGTGCGCGCTGCAGATGCTCATATTGAATTTTCACGAAAATATGTAATAGAGCGCCTCGTGGGACACAAAAACAATCGTGTAATTTTGTCCATCGTCAACGATTTTTTTCTCCGCGATGTAGTTTATACCTGCCTCGCGGACATCGTGCATATATACAGTTTCGCTCGCGAGCGTCGAGGCATCGCTCAAACAATCGTACCGCGCGCAGCCGGTGACTGCTACGGTTCTGCGCTGTATCCATATGCAAGCTTCTCTCTCTCTCTCTCTCCGCATAAGCAACTACCGTTTCGCTCTGCATACGGGCCTCGGCAAGAAGAGAGGACACAATGCGCGTAGATGTATGCAGCGCATCGCGGAAGCTGTTCCACGCGATTGTTGCTGAGCTCTCTGCATATGGATACAGCGCTAGCCCCGACGCAGCTGAGATTTGCAATTGGCGCGTTACTTATTGCGACGACGACGACGCGCGTGCATGAGTTAGCAGCTCGAGTCGAGGTGCGGACGAGCTTCGACGCTACATAGTCGTCCGCGAGGTACATTAACGTTTCGTCTCGTTTCTGGGAACGCGCGTGTGAACGAATATGCACAGCAGGTCGTGTCTCTTATATTGTCGAGCTGCATAGAGCATAGCTGCGGTGCTTCTGCGGTAATAAAATGCAGAAAAGATTTTTGAAAAGGGTAAAGCAAGCTCCTAACACCCGGTTAGGTTTTACAAAAAAAATCAGTTCGTTGCGCTGAAGAACGAATTGACTTGAAGTTAATTAGAGCAGAATAACGGTCCCACTTGAAAGAAAAAGCTGCGACTAATGTGTCGATAGGCAGATTTGAAAATGCCGATTTGAACATGTATAGATAGTTTTTTATTGGCGTTAAATAAATTTACATAGCCACAACTTCATTTGTTCGCGTTCGGAATCGATCATGACATCTAGCGTCTGAATTCGGAACTCGTCGCTGCCAGCTATACTATATTTTTACGGTACATACCTCAACTTGTGGTACGCATAATCATTTATTGTTTAGCCACGAGTACATTTTTTAAATAAAAACATTTTGATTTTAATTTGTTTAATTAACGTTCAAGTAGCGGGTTGTTGCCGAAATTATGACGTCAATTTACCTCGCTCAAAAGACACTAGAATTTCCTGCGAAATTTTGTTTTACTATCATCGAGTTTTTGATCTTCGCGATTTCTTTAATTTTTGAAAGAAACTACCATATAGACAGAAAATACCTAAGAACAAAAAAACCTTTAGAATTAGTCGAAGAATAATTTTTTTCTATTTATTTAAAGACTTTTTTGAAAATTGAGCAGGGATGATCATTTTTCATTTTTAGGTTTAAGCAAATATTTTGAAAGCACTAGAGCGAGGTGCTATATTCTTGGAACATAAGCGATACCCTAATAATACGTACAACTGTGCGTATGCTCATACCGCAGGAGCTTGGGGGGGAAAAAAACTTGCAGTTGAATATCGCTCAACCGAACGTACGACTAATATTGAATTATCCCTCGTGAGAGGTGGCATTACGATGATAGGTGTATTGCACTCGAGCGCGTTTATCCGCATTCACACGCATACATACAACGACGACTCGCACCGAGAGTGGGAGGATCTTCGTTTACCAACGTGTACTATTTAATCGAACATGCCCTTCGATCGTTCGGCAGCTTGCAGTAGTAGTATTAAAGCGCAATGTGGCATTAGATAATATTACGCCCGGCGCACACGTGCGAAAGTTTAATAACTCGCGCTGACCGACGAAGATGATAACGTCGGCTATGCGACGACAACGACGATAATCATGACGGTGATGATGAGATGATGATGCAGCTTAACGAAGGCACGAGTTCGAGGGAGGCGATAAATTGACAAACGTTTCGAAGCTTAATTGGTAATGTTCGCCTGCTTGACAATTGTTGAGAATTCGCGCTCGTTTCGGACAATCGTGGATGGTATTGATTCTTTTTTTTTAATTTTTACTTTATTGAAATTACGCACGACATATAAAAATTAATACCAGGTAACTCTCCTCTTATCGATATAACGATGATTCGTAAATTACCTCGATTTCGCGATTACAAAGTGTTCTGGCACTCGTGGCAAAATTACGCGCCCATATAAGCGTGGTACGTTTTGCTGCTGCTCTCTCTCTCTCCCTCTCGCCAACGGCATTAACCACGATGTACTTTTGATATCGTTCAATGAGCTGTGTAACAATTTTGGGTTTTGTGGCTCGCGCGGGACGATGACGCTAATAATAATACCGCGCGATAGTAACGTCGATCGAACCGGCCGCAGTACTGCACACGAAGGAGAGACCATATACGGCTGAGTTTATTTACTCGGCTCGCGCGGAAACCAAGAGGGGATGAATTTTTGATTTTTCGTTGGGTAATTGCACGATTTCGAAGGACTCGCGTACAACTGTTTATACAATACACGAGGAGGACTCAAAGTCAAGCAGGAGCAAGTTGTTCGCGAAGACGGACGATAACGATTGTTTGAGTAGACGACTTGACTTTAATTGTTGCTTTGCGTTTGTACGTGTGCTCGAGCGTGTACGTGTATACGTGTTTATTGTACGAGTCGCGTGAGCGAGCGCAACTCTTGATTGGCCTGATTCGCGCGCAACTGTACGCGCGCGCGACGATTGTTCGAGTTCGTACATATAGCGTTAAGACGCGGACGAGTAAATACCAACATTACGTATACGTACAGCATTATCGTTAATTGTCACGGGGGCGCATCGTTGATTAATGAATAATAATTGCGCCCGTTTCGCTTTGTATCGCGCTGTTTACGTACACGTCTGTTTGTGTCTTGTTCGCAGGTGGCAAGAAGACGCCCTCGAAGTTGAACGAGATCAGCAAGCACGAGCAGAAGTTCGGCAGCCTCGACAAGAAGCGCAACATGGAATTGTCGTCCAGTAACGGTGAGTTTGACGAAGGATGATGAGGGTCGTCCGGGCGAGCCGAGTCTAGAAGATTATTACTGACGATTCGTACGCGAGGAGAGGCTGCGAATAGAGAGGATATACATAATAGCGAAACCAAGGCATATTTCCGTAATTTTGAAAAGTTGATCGATAGTAGCTTGAGCTCTGAATTGGGTACTCGCTACTTCGATTTACAAAAATCCAAAAAAGTTTTTTATTTCAATAAAATTATTAAGTGGTTCCAAAGTTTCTTTTTTTCGATACAAGATATATAACTTATGATTTCTCAAAAATTGACATTTAAAAATAAGACATGAAAAAAAAACTCGCGGTTCATTGTTGAAACCCCCACACAAATAACAAAAGTGCAATGATAGTTGATATTAGTTAGACTTAATCATTTTAGCCCAATTTTTATTGAAATTTTAGAAAAAGATAGGTAAAAATATCTGTTTAATCGTCATTTCTTCTTGCATTTCTCACATATGACCTTTATGGAGCGTCATTTTAGGATAGAGCTAATTAAACTTAGTGGATTGTGGTAAAGTGCAAAAGCAAATTGCATTTATATTCGAATTTTTTTACGCAATTGTCACACGTGTGATCTTTGCGACGATCGTGGACTGTCATTTGGTGTCTAATCAATTTTGATTTTTCTCCAAATTTCTTTTCTCAATTATCGCATGTGTGGCCTTTGCTACAGTCATGGACTGATTTTTGGTGTTTGTTCAAATTGCTTCGTCCCTCAAAATTTTTCTCGCACTTGTCGCATGCATAATCTTTACGACCATCGTGGACTGTATTTTGGTGCGAAAGTAATGTACTTTTATGTCCAAATATTTTTTCGCCCTTAACCCAGGTGTAATCTTTACAATTTTCGTGTAATGTCCTTTGGTGCACAAGTAAAGTCTTTTTTTGTCCAAATTTCTTCTCGCACTTGTCGCATGCAAAATCTTTGCGACCTTCGTGTACTGTCTTTTGATGTTTTAACAAATTTGATTTGCTTCCATAATTTTTCTCGCATGTGTCACATTTGTAATCTTTGCGACCTTCATGGACTGTCTTTAGGTGGTGGATCAAACTATGTTTTTGTGTAAATTTCTTCTCACACTTGTCACATGAAAATTCTTTACGACCTTCATGAACTGTCTTTTTGTGCAAGATCAAATTGCTTCTAATCCCGAATTTCTTTATACATATATCGCATGCGTAATTTTTACGACCGTCGTGTACTGCCTTTTGATGGTAGAGCAAATTAGATTTATGTGAAAATTTCTTCTCACACTTGTCACACGCATAATCTTTCTGACCTTCATGTACTATTTTTTGGTGCGTCAACAACTCTGATTTTCGTCCAAATTTCTTCTCGCACTTCTCGCATTCGTAATTCTTTTGACCTTCGTGGACTGTCCTTTGGTGGACAAGAAAATTCGATTTTTGTCCAAATTTTTTCTTGCAAGTTTCGCATGCAAAGTCTTTACGACTTTCGTGTACTGTTTGTAGATGGATGCGCAGATAAGATTTTTTTGAAAATTTCTTCTCGCACTTGTCACATCCAAAATCTTTCCGACCATCGTGGACTGTCCTTTGGTGCTTCAACAAATTAGATTTACTTCCAAATTTACTTTCGCAATTATCGCATGCAAAATCTTTACGACCCTCATGGACTGTTCTCACGTGCAAGAATAAATTTTGCTTATTTGCGAATGTCTTCTCACAACAGTCACATGAATAATCTTTGCAGACTTGAAAGGAGAATTCTTTTTGACCATCATGTACGGTCTTAATGTGTGAGAACAAACTCTGTTTATTTCCAAATCTTTTGGCACACTTTTCACATAAATAATCTTTGAATACTTCGTGGAATATTCTTTTGTGCTTGAGTAAATTTGATCTATTTTCAAATTTTCTCTCGCATTTGTTACATGAGTAATGTTCGAGATCTTTGTGTACTAGTTTTTGGTGCGTAGACAAACTCGATTTTTTCACAAATTTTTTCTCACACTGGTCGCATGCAAAATCATTGCGGTCTTTGTGCATTAATATTTGATGTCTACTGAAATGACTTCGGAACTCAAATTTCTGTTCGCACTTGTCACATGCGAAATCTCTGCGGTCATTGTGAAATGTGTTTCGGTGCTTGACCAGGCTTGACTCTAGTATAAATGACTCCTGACAAATATCACAAACGTTTATTTTTTCGTCTGAAACTATAATATCACGTTCATTCAAATAAACTTCAGAGTCAACTTCCTCAGATTTCTTCTCTTTCTTATCCATTTTAGTGTCTGAATTGAACTATAAATCTTTCTATTTAGTACCACGAAAATTGAATGAGTATAATTTATCTTATGGTATTACAACTTGTTTCATTAGGAAAGACAACGTTCTAACTAAATTGTTTTCAATGTGAACATGATGAGTTGGGTATCAGTCATCAATGAAGAAATTATCGTTTACGATTCAGATTTCAATTTATTTGTTTGTAAATTATCTTACAAATATCGAAACAATTTAAAATTTTAACGTGTCAAATTTGAGGAATTTGTTTGGACTTTTAAATCCAAGTACTTCCCAAAAAATTTCTGACAAAATATATCAATTTCACAAATCCATATGAATTCAATATTAATGTGTATTCAAAGTATTTTTCATAACACCTATTGGCCAAAAGATACTGCTAACTGCTATTTTAACATAAAGATTTATCAGAGTTAACGGTATCACATTTGATCACGAGCTTTTTGATTTCATCATCAGATCGAATAAACTTGCAAGTGGCAAAAAAATTTTCGATTAGCATCTATAATGATGTATCCTATCATCTAAATAAATAAGAAAATTTCAATGAATTCCTTTAAAAGAATTGAAATCCAATTCATATTTATTGTCTCAAGAAATTAAAAGATCGACATGATTCTGAAAAAAATCTCATATTATATCTTATTATCAATATAATTCTTAGTCGTTGGTTTTTACATAATAAACTTAACAACGTTGGAAATTATCAAAAAATTACATCTCCAAATAAGACGTGAAAAAACTCGCGATTAATTGTTGACACAACGACACAAACAACAAAGGTGTGATGACAGTTGATATTAGGTAAGACTCAATCATAATGGCTCAATTTTTATTGAAAATTTTAAAAAAAGATAGGTACAAATATCTGTTCAAACGTCATTTTTTCTCGCATTTTTAACGTGTGACCTTCATGCAGCGTCTTTTGTTGTTAGAGCAAATTGAATTTTTATCCAATTTTTGTTTTTTTTACTTTTCGTAGAAATAATCATATTTGTGACTATCGTAGACTGTCTTTATGAAGGTGAGCGTTTTTTGTGTAAATTTCTTCTAACGCATGCGTAATCTTTTTGACCTTCGTGTACTGTCTTTTGGTGCAAAAGAAAAAACCATTTTTGGCTAAATTTCTTTTCGCACATATCGCACGCGTAATTTTTGCGACCTTCATGGACAGTAAGTAAGTAGGTGTCTGAGCAAACTCCCTTTTTGTTTAAATTTTTTTTCGCATCTGTCACATGCGAAATCTTTACGACCTTCGTGAACTGTCCTTTGGTGCATGATCAATTTGCTTCGAATTCCAAATTTCTTTATACATTGGTCACATGCGTAATCTTTGCGATCGTCGTGTACTAATTTTTGGTGGTAGAGCAAATTAGATTTATTTGAAAATTTCTTCTCACACTTGTCACATAAGTAATCTTTTCGTCTTTCGTGTAGTGTCTTTTGATGTCGAAGCAAATTCGATATTTGTCCAAATTTCTTCTTGCACTTGTTGCACGCGAAATCTTTCCGACCTTCGTGGACTGCCCTTTGGTGCTTTAACAAATCTGAATTACTTCCAAATTTACTTTTGCACTTATCGCATAAAAAATTTTTGCGACCCTCGTGGACTATCTTTTGATGAAAAATCAAATTTGATTTAAGTCCAAATTTTTTCTCGCATTTATCACATGCGAAATCTTTCCGACCTTCGTGGACTGTCCTTTGGTGCTTCAACAAATCTGAATTACTTCCAAATTTTTTCTCGCACTTGTCACATAAAACATTTTTGCGACCCTCATGGATCATCTTTTGATGAAAAATCAAACTCGATTTATATCCAAATTTCTTCTCGCATTTATCACATACGAAATCTTTCCGACCTTCGTGTACTGTTTTTAGGTGAAGTTGCAAATGGGGTTTTCGTTCAAATTTCCTCTCGCATTTGTCACATGTATAATCTTTGCGACCCTCATGAACTCTTGTCAAGTGCAAGACTAAATTTCGCTTATTTGCAAATTTTTTTCCACAGTTGTTACATAAGTAATCTTTGAAGACTTTAAAGTTGACGTTTTTCTGATCTTCGTGGACTGTTTTTATGTGCAAATGCAAACTCTGTTTATTTCCAAATCTCTTAGCACACTTTTCACATAAGCAATCTTTGAATACCTCGTGGAATATTTTATTGTGCTTGAGTAAATTTGATTTATTCTCAAATTTTCTCTCGCACTTGTTACATGAGAAATGTTTGTAATCTTTGTGTACTAATTTTTGATGCGTAGACAAACTCGATCGCTTCACGAATTTCTTCTTGTACTTATCGCATGTGAAATCTTTACTACTTTTGTGTTCTGATATTTGGTGTCTACTCAAATGACTTCGGAACTCAAATTTCTGTTGGCACTCGTCACATGTGTAATCTTTTTTTGCATTGTGAATTGTGTTTCGGTGTGCTATCAATCTTGATTCTAGTGTAAATGACTCCTGACAAATATCACAAACGTATATTTTTTCGTCTGAAACTATAATGTCATGTTCATTCAAATGAACTTCAGAGACAACTTTCTCGATTTTCTTCTCATTCTTGTCCATTTTAGTGTCTGAATTGAACTATAAATCTTTCTATTTAGTACCACAAAAATTTAATAAGTAAAATTTATCTTATGAATATTATAACTTGTTTCATCAGGAAAGACAACATTCAAACTAAATTGTTTTGAGGTCTATTATGACGAGTTATGTATCAGTTATCAATAAATATCATTTTGTTTACTATTTGGTACCGATTTAACTGCTAATACATTGCCCGTACAAAATTCGAACCATTCAAAAATGTCTAACTTGGTCGCTTTGGGGAATTTGTTTGGACTTATAAAACCTAATTTGTCGTCGTTTTCAATTCTAACTGCTGTTATTAAGCGAATATTTGACAATTTTTAAAAAATTTTATAATGTTGAAGGAAAACCAAGGATTAACATTGCAGAATTCTTTGGGTATTATAACAAGATTTAACGGTGTCACATTTTTTTCTCTCTCTCTCTCTCTCTCTCTCTCTTTTGATCACGAGCTTTTCGCTTTCATCAACAGATGGAATAATGTAAACTCGCAAGTGGCAAAAAAATTTTCGATTAAGATATGATAGGATCATAATATGTTTTTGATAGATATGTGGTCTATATAATTGTGTCTATGATCTTGACTTATCTATATCAATGATTTATGATCAAACGAATATTACAGCAAAAAAAATATAAGATTGGAACATCACATCTCTTGAACTATATCTAAACATATACAAGGATCGCCAGGAATTCGAAAGTTTTTTCAAATCTCATCAGCGAAACGATAAGTGTTTACTTTCGTAAATCGCGCCCTAGAGGAAAGATTCAACTCGACTCCAAAAGTACATGAGAAGCAAAAAAAGAAAAATTCACAGAGACGGGAAATTTTCAACCCATTCCAAATCAAACGATTGTAAAAATAAGAAACCAAAGAGTGCAAGATATTAAAAAACGATCGTCATAATTCTGAAAAAAGTTCATATATCTTATTATCAATATAATGCTCTGTGGAGCCCAGCATTAGAGTTCATCTTTCCTAGTTCTTGCACAAACTCAGCTTAATAAATTGTCGTGTATAGTGGGAAATTGGAAAAAGTGTCATATTCATGCCAAGTTTCGTTTGTCGCTCAAGCAATTCAAAATATAAGAATTTAGATTGATAAAAGTACTCATAACAGGATTACGATTTTAGAGAAATTTGGGAAACATTTTTTGATTTCAATTAAATTATCAAATGGCCCCAACGTTGATTTTTAACAGTAAAAACTATATATTGTGAGGATTATCAAAAATCCACATCTCCGAATAAGACGCGTAAAAAACTTGCGTCCGATTATGGTCCATGGATACTTTACAAAGGTGTAATATGATAGTTGATATAAGGTAAAACTTAATAATTTTGGCCCAATTTTCATTGAAATTGTAGAGAAACATATGTACAAAAATCTATAAAGTCGTCATTTCTTCTCGCATTTATCTCATGCGTAATCTTTACGACCTTTATGCAGCATCTTTTGGTGGTAGAGCCAATTAAATTGTTGTCCAAATTTTTGCTCAGATTTGTCGCATAAATAATCTCATTTATGACCTTCATGGACTACTGTTATATACTGGAACAAATTACAATTACGTCCTAATTCTTTTTCATATTTGTCGCATCCAAACCTTTGCGACCTTCATGGGTTATCCTCTGGTGGGTGAGTAAATTACATTCAAGTCCGTATTTTTCGTTTGGCATCTGTCACACGTGTAATGCTTATCGTCCTTTGTGTATTTTTTTTTTGGTGGTCGAACAAATTACATTTTTGTGAAAATTTCTTCTCGCACTTGTCACATGTAAAATCTTTGCGACCTTCGTGTACTATCCTTTGGTGCTGTAACAAATTATGTTTATATCCAAATTTCTTATCACACTCGTTACATGCGTAATCTTTTTGACCTTCGTGTACTGCCTTTTGGTGCTTCAACAAATCTGATTTGAATCCAAATTTCTTTTCACACTTGTTGCATGGGAAATCTTTGCGTCCTTCGTGTATTGTCCTTTCGTGGTCGAGCAAATGATGTTTAAGCCCAAATTCCTTCTCGCACTTGTTACATGTAAAATCTTTCCGACCTCCGTGGATTATCTTTTGGTGTCTAGTCAAATTCCATTTTTCTCCAAATTTCTTCTCGCATTTGTCACATGAGTAATCTTTGCGACCTTCGTGGACTGTTTTTTGGTGCCAAAGCCAATGCGATTTTTGTCCAAATTTCTTCCTGCACTTGTCGCATGCGAAATCTTTCCGTCCTTCATGGACTGTCCTTTGGTGCATCAACAAATTTGATTTAATTCCAAATTTACTTTCGCATTTTTCGCAAGCATAATCTTTACGACCCTCGTGGACTGTTGTTATATGCCTGAGCAAATTTGATTTTTGTCCAAACTTCTTCCCGCAATCGTCACACAAGTATTCTTTGAAGATTAATTTAAAGGCGAAATCTTTCTGACCTTCGTGTACTATCTTTATATGCTTGAGCAAATTCTGTTTGTTTCCAAATCTTTTCGCGCACCTTTCACACAAATAATCTTTAAAAATGTCGTGGAATATCTTATTGTGCTTCATTAAAGTGAGTTTATTTTCAAATTTCCTCTCGCACTTGTTACATGAGAAATCTTCGCGATCTTTGTGAACTAATTTTTGATGCGTAAATAAACTCGATTGTTTAACAAATTTCTTATCGCATCTGTCACATGCAAAATCAATGCGACTTTTGTGTGCTGATATTTGGTGTCTACTCAAATGACTTCGGAATTCGAATTTCTGTTCGCACTTGTCACATGCGTAATTTTTTTGTTTATTGTGAAATGTGTTACGGTGTGTTATCATGATTGATTCTAGTATAAATGCCTCCTGACAAATGTCGCAAACGTATTTTTTTTCATCTGAAATAACGACGTGATGTTCATTTAAATGAACTTCAGAGACAACTTCCTCAGATTTCTTCTCATTTTTATCCATTTTAGTGTCTGAATTAAACTATAAATCTTTCTATTTAGTACCACAAAAACTGAATAAGTAAAATTTATCTTATGGTATTACAACTTGTTTCTTCGGGAAAGACAACGATCAAACTAAATTGTTTTTAATGTGAACTTAATGAGTTGTGTATCAGTAATGAATGATGATCATATTGTTTACAAGTCTCTAATATCGATTCATCTGTTTATGTATAATCGAGATAATAACGAAATAATAACGAAAAGTTTTAAAGAGCAAAAAGTCGTTACAAAAATCTCCCTCTATTTTTCCTTGATTTGTCTGAGTTGATGCGTGTTGTAGCTCTGAGCTATCGTACGACGGTGAAGACCACTGGAAATAACATGCACGCAGAGTCATGCGAGTGCCCCACGCGCCCCCTTGAATGATACATCTCAGTGGCGACTTCACGCGAACGTGTCGATGCAACGATAGTAAAATGAAACTGCAAAAATACGCGCGCTGCCGGCCGGCGTTTCGAATGAAGATTCGATTAGCATATATTATGATATTTCCTATCATCTACAAATTTTCCCATAATTTTGACTTTCTATATCAATGATTTATGATAAACCGAATATTATAGCTCAAAATGTATAAGATTGACATCACATCTCGCGTACAATATGTTAACATGGAAGGAGGATCGCTGTGAATTCGAAATTTTCGTATACTCTCGTCAGCGAAACGATAAGTGTTTACTTTCGTAAATCACGGCGTAAAAAAATTCAACTCGACTCCGAAAGTACGCGAGTAGAAAAAAAAAAATTCACAGGGACGGGAAATTTACAGCCCATTCCAAATTAAACGATTGTAAAAATTAAGAGCAAGAAAAGAAATGTCACTGCACATTTTAATGGATCCCTCTGCGATCCCTGCGTGACAGTCAATCCCTCTCGCTTCTTCTCTAGCCTTCGTTGAGAAATGGCATAAGAGAGAGAGAGAGAGAGAGAGAGAGAGAGAAAGATACGCAGTGGAGCATCTTCTGATTTGTAATTAGAGATGAACTCGGAGTATATAAGCTCCGTAGAGATGTAAAGCACGTGCTCCCCCTTCTCTCTCCGCTGCTTCTACGTTGCCGAGCGAGAGCAATTCGTCTCTTGTCGGATGGCTTGTCAAGCGCGCATCTCATAATGCCACTGTTTCCCTCATTTTTTTACTTATCTCTCTCTCTCTTGCTCGCTGTCTCGTGCTGCTTTTCCTCCTTGGGCTCCTCTCGCGTGCGCGTATAGTATAAACGATCGCCTTTTCCTCCTCCGTAGTAAATGAAGATTATTACCCGACTTCTATTATTGTCTCGCATAAGCGTAGAAAAAAGAAACGAAGTAGCGAGGGAAAAAAATCAGCGAATTTGTCAAACTTTCGTTGCGCGACGACGACGACGACAACGGCGATAAATGCGCCTCTCTCCATCATCATTTTCATTACGTATATATATATATTTTTTCCTTTTTTCTCGCTATATATACTCACGATCTTTCTCTCGTTATTGATTCGCAGCATCGGCACTGGAGACGGCGACGACGGCCAGTACGTTGATATCGCTGCTGCTCCTCATCGCCTGGATAATTCGATAAGTCAAGGGGACATCTGGCATCGCTACTGCAGCGCACGAGATCTCTCGACGTGGTGTTTAGTACGAAGAGAGAGAGAGAGAGAGAGAGAGATTAGGAATGAGAGGGAGGTAAATATTTTAAATGGTTGTAAATTATAACGACGACGAAGTTGACGACGATGCAGGGGATGAAGAATCAAGACGAAGCCTTTATTAAACCCGTAGACGTGTAAGGAAACGAAAGGAAGATTCTTCTTTCTCGCGAGAGAGCCTGATTGTTATATAAATATATATATGAAATATATTTACGGTAGTTTGTAGAACGGAGTCGTGCTGTATAATGTGTACGTACGTATGAATGTATGTGTGAGAAGAAAAAAATTAACTAAGGGGAGAGATGCAATCGCTTTCGATGTAACATATTACCAAAAAAAAACAATAGCCGCGCGAACGATTACATAATATAATATTAATGATATAGATTCGACGAGTCGAGATGACAAAATGAGCGACGTTTCGCTGATGTGTAACTGCCTATTTTACTGATAATTATATATAACGATATGTGTAAACGACACTGCGACTTTGGTGTTATTTAAACGCGCGCGTGTGTGTGGAAATGCAAGTGCGACGAAATATTTATAAATAAACAAAAGAAAAAAAAACAATACGTATTAAGTATATAAATAGCTTTTGTACGTGTGAACATGGTACGTTTGTTTATTTTTTCTTCTTCCTTTCTTAATCGAGCTTGAGTGCGAGAACGAGTATATAAACAGAAAAAAAAACACGATACAGGGTGCAAATAATATTATTATCGATAAATATGTGCCACGTGCTTCGAGAGCCTATACGTAAGCTGCTGCGCTGAGATTTTGATTTACCGATTCGTTTCGAGCTTTTTTCGTAATAGCACGCACGACACGAGCTGATCTATATCTCGATTACGGAGTCTCCTCTCCCTTTGGAGAAGTCACGAGATCGTCACAAAATCAAAATGAAAAACTTTGCGCTCTCGTGAATGGACAATACGCATTCTTGCTTTATCTACAATTTTTTTCCACCGTCTTCTTCTTCTTCTTCTTCTTCTTCTCGCCTATGTAAATAAAAAAAGCAATCGCCGATAACCGCGCGCGCGCGCGCGGTGGTAAATCGAAAAAAAAATCGAGTCCCCATGAAAAAATCGAGTGCTACTCGGAGGCCCTGAAGAAAGAACATTATTTTTAGTATTATTTTCTTTTTTTTTCTCGCTCTCTCTCTCGTCGTCGACGACGCGACGACATTCCACGACGAAAACTCTTGCGGGCGGCGACGAATCCTTACACACCGTATATATACATTGCTTTAATCCTCGACTCGAGTGCAGCCGGGGGTTTCGTCCTCTCCGCTACTCCTTTCGGTGAGCATCCCACCACTACCTACTTCTTCTCTCTAGGCACTCTTCATCTACGCGTGTATATATATATATAACTCCGTGCGAATCGCACGGGGAGCTGTGTGCGGGATCCCATCTGGATACTCGAGATTGAAACGTCAGATTCGCGACGACGACGACGACGACTCTCGCTCGACCTTCCTTCTTCTTCTGCTCATCCTCCTCCTTTTACCCTCTCGCTCTCTCTCTCACATTTTTTTTATACATGTATTTTTTATGCGGACGTCGAGATCGAATATTAAAAAGTTGAATATTATAATTTACAAAAGTCGCGAGGCTCGATATGAAGAAGAGAAGAAAAAAAAAGGTATAAAGGAAGAGAAGTCGACGCGACGAGAACAGCTGTCAAATGACAATTGCATAACAATATCGTGGCAAATCGGCTCGCCTTTATTCTTCTTTTTCCGCATACCCTTTTTTACTTTCACTCGTCAGCTCCCTCCGACCTCTACCTCGAGAGAGAGAGAGAGAGAGAGAGATGATTCGAGCTTTCGATAAGTTTCGTACCGAAGCAACGACGACGACGACTCTTCGATTGCAGAAACGACGAGACCGACGTAATGAGAAATTTTTATGCCAGATGTTGCGCTTTTTTTTCGAGACGTCTGGGCACGCGAACATACTTCGCGTCGACGAAGAACACGCGTAGCACGCGCGGACTCGAAAATTAAAAATACTCGCGTCGACACGAGCCTCTCGCGAGCAACAAGTCGACGCGTCGTCGCGGTGCTTTTTTCTCCTTACAATCCGGGTACGAAAATAATTCATAAGCCCGCAAGTGGGAGGGCGCGCGAGGGTATGTATAACACTCCACGATCGCGAGGGTCAATTAAGGATTTGCGCGATGTATCAAGGCGCTCGAGAGGATAAAGGACTCGCGAGAGACTTACACAAATTTACCCCCGGCTTGACATCTCCGTTGAGGGCTCGATACCCTTCTCTCTCCCCCATCGCCGGATAAGCTCCGCGGCGAATCTCGCGTGACTCGGCAAATAATAGTCCTTCGGAGGAATTAAAATTAAGATAATTCACTCGCTTGCTGGTGCTCGAGAGACGGAGAGAACACGATGGAGCGCAAAGTTTTTAATCGCATAATCGATTTACTCGGTTTTTCTTTTCGTACTGAATTCGCATTCGAATGATTGTATAAAGGATATTATTATAAATATATAAATGCGTGAGAGTGCAGAGTATGCGTTTGCTAATGAAGACAAAAAAAAATACAGAAAAAGAGCAGAAAACATGTAAATACAGAGGTATAAACGTATACATATAAAATAAGTGTAAGAGCATATAATTAGACGATGTGGCCGTAGTTTGCAGACGATTGAAAAAAAAGCACGACGAAGATAATAAAATAATTAACCCTGCGACGGTATGGAACGTGTTATAGAAAAGCACAGTAAAAAAAAACAAAATACAGATGAGGTTATTTTGAATGTAGCATATAGATTAATAATAAAAGAAAAATGGGAAAAAAACACGAACGAATTAATCGATAAGAGTCCTAATTGACCGTCTCGCATTAACCAGTCGGAAGAGTGCATATACGAGGATGAGGAAAAAAAACGAATTATCGCCAAGGTATAAGTGTATACATATTATAAATACATTGGGGAATTATAAAAACAAAAAATTATAAATATACGAAGTATAAATAAATTAAAAAAAAAAAAAAAGTAAGATTAAAAGGCTAACAGGGGAAAAACAAAAACACGAACGCGCGGAACGGAAGAAACGAAGAAATCAACTGCCAATCGGTCAAGGAATATCACGATGTTATATACTGAGATGCAAAAATAAAAAATAATATTCGTTAAACCATGTACGATTATCATTATTATTATTATTGTAATTATCATTATTACGAACAATTGTATATGAAAAAAACGCTTTTCTGCGAACGTTGAGTTAAATGTTGTTATCCGTTGTAACGAATGTGATTGAATAACATTGAGGAAGAATTATGTAATAAAAACCGATATTAAAAAAAACGAGAAATAAATGAAGAAAATTTCTCGAATGGAAAAAAAAAATTGAGTCTCTGCTTTATTTATTATACGTTGCGCGGGAACGACCCCCGTATATAAATTTTAGTTTTTGAAAACCCCCAATTCGATTGCCTTTTTTTCCCCCCGGACAATGGCGGAGGAGAAATGATAACGTTTATTCGCGGAAGCAGCCTTATTACTCCATAAAGCGCGAGCCCGCCGACGAAAGTTAAGCTATATACCCGCGTATATATATTTTATATATATTATATATTATTATTATGTACATTTTTTTTTTTTTTTTACGAACGTAGACGCGAGCTTGACAGCGATACGACGACAAATACATTTTAACTGCGCCTGCCTGCCTGCTATCCTCCGCGCCCAAACGCACGCGTATTATTATACATATTATGCATTATAAATTCCGCAACGTGTATAGTATATACAATGGGGGGGCCGAGCGAGTCGAAAAATTTCGTGCGCGAATTATTTCTTCCTTCTTCTCCTTTTTTTTTTGTTTTTTTTTCTTTTATTTCTAGTATTGTGAGAGCTTTTACACTCGCGTTGAGCTGAATGCCGTGTCCGCGCGGGGGCCGCGCGTTATGTAAAGTTTTTTGTCCCTACCCGTTGTTGCGTTCAAAGAGTACATAAATATACGAGAGGGAGAGAGAGGGTGGGAGGAAGGGTAGCCCGGTCGCAACAATTTACGGCGTTTAGCGGCAAAAGAGAGAGAGAGAGAGAAAGAGGGAAAAAAGGAGAGAACGAGAGATGTCTCGCATGTGATTTTTACGGCTCGTCATTACATTTTATACTTTCGACCTCTTCCCATGCCGACATCATCGCGTACAAGTACACATTTATAAGCAATGTACAGGGCTTATATGGGTAAATCTCATGAGATTGTAATATTCTTTCCAACTCAAAGAGGTCATGTTGATAATTTTTGTAACTTTTTTATTAGGCCTACACGCTGACAAGTAAAATACTATTGAATTCTCTGTCATAAACCCTACTTTTTCTGAAAAAATTAGGACGATTTCTGATGGGGACAGATGCAGCTTTCTGCTGCATTAGAGTGAGTTCACTTTTTTCACGAAAATCACTCGCTGCGGTCGATGCGATCGCATGCCGGCTTGGCTGGAATTCCAAATTCATAAGTAAAAATTGTAACATTTAAGATAATTACGGCAGAATTTAATGTTTTTTTTTACACTTTTTTACTTTTTCCATGTAACTTTAATAATTTTGTATTCAAAGAGTTAAACGTGTCGCCGGTAGATCTAGATGGCCCACAGAAAACTATATTTCTCGCAAAGTCGTCGAATACAATAGCTCGAAGAAGTTGTGAACACGAGTGTACAACAAGTACGACTGCATCGAATTGTCAAGCTGCTATATAAGGTAGGTTTACGTATTTACGTCGTCCACCTTGGAGCTTATGAATAATATATGATTTTCAACATAGCAACGCGCTAAAATTACACTTTCCTCATTGCCGATAACGATTTGATTTTGATTTGATGGGATAGATTTATTGGACATATTTTTATTTTGCCTACATCCATGAACACCGATGGTAAACGAAAACAATGCCAAAAAAGAATCTATTCCTTTTATTTATTTTCAAATTTCGAGCCATCATTGTTCTACAAATAAGATATGTAACATCCTCCAATTGGTCAGCAGACTGGAACTGGAAACGAAGAGATTATAATTCGAAAGTGTTTTAAAAGCTATCCTACTTATTCGTATACATATAAGGCTGCATCGCGGGTTCTCGTCTATATAACTGATAATGAAGCGCGGAGAAAGAGAAATAGAGAGAGAGAAAAGCCCTAAACGCACACATTATACACAAACGCTGCATGAAAGATAGAACGAGTCATGCGTGCATCATTCACAATGAATCTTTGGTCGATTTTCAATCAGTACCAGCTCGCTCGACGCCTCGTCGATTTCGCACAACGAGAACGAGGCATTATCGAAGGAAACGAACGAACAAACAAA